TACCCTGGGCCATTGTGAGTTCCTGTTTCTGCATCTTGCAGTCCTATGGCTGAGCTTGGGGTGAGATCTGAGCATTCTGGAGTGTGGCAGCCATATAGGAGTCCAGGGAATGGTAGGCTGTGCATTTGCATTCTAGTACAAGCACTGTTTGGGCAGGGGTCCATTCTGCTGATTAGAACTAATTAAGGTCAGATATGTCCCTTGCTGGAAAGGTTTCTTAAACTGTGAATATCCTGGTGGCTCTGTGAAGTGTTTGACAAAAGAAGAGTGTTCCTTTAGAAGTGTGGTAAACTCAGAAGGTACCTTCTCTGATTTATGCTGGCACTATCTGGTTGGGAATCATTTCTTGTGGCAGATCAGAGGAGTATGTTTGTGCAGCATTAGTATGTAAATGTTGTGATGGGATCTTACTTTGAAATATATGTCATGTCAAGCAAGCAGGGGAAATATGCAAGGAGTGTAATTTGTCATCTAGCTTTCAAATTATTCCTTATGTTTCAAGTCCAGTCATGGTGCTTGTGTGTGCTACATGTCCCTTAAAACACTCTGCAGTGCTTCTTGTTAACTGTTAGCACTTTGGCAAACATAAGCCCCAAGGTTAAGCTCTGTATAATGCTGCTTTGGCCTGTGCTTCCAGACTTAAGAGGATGGCGCAGGAGAAGCCAGCTGTGAGCATATGGTATTGTTTCTGCAACCCTCTGTTCCAATGTGCTCAACATGGCTTTGGTTTTCAGCTGTTGATATTCTAACATCTTGATTTACTTTTTTGATGTTGTCTCTTTTTTTCTCGCTTAAAGCTACGCTCAACAGATTTTGTTCGTTTGTTTTAGTAAGGGAAAAGTATTGATAAATGCTTTGTATAGAGTTGCAGGTGCAGTCTGTTGTCCCTAGGGCAAAATACCAACTTTATGGGATTCACCTTAGTAGGAGCTGCTTTTCCAGCTAAGATACATTTCAAGGCTTGTAGAGGCTGCAGCATTTGAATTTCTGCTGGTTTCCAAAGCAATCTAGTGTAAGGTCACATTTCAGTTGTTACCATCTTGAACTGGCAGAAGAGCACAGCATTTCAAATAGATGCTGATGTCAAGGCTGAGGACCACATACACCTCTCCTGCTGGTGGGAAAATCCCAAAGGGGCTCATCATTGTCTTTGCTATCCAAATACAGTGTTGAACTCAAATCCAGTTGCAGGCAGCCCAAGGGTTATGTGCCCGACTAATAATGATGGTCTTTCAAGAGAATTAACTTCTTAGTGCCAAAAATAAAAGAGCAGGAAGAGCACTGGGCAGCTATAGCTGGAAAATGTTTGTATTCCTTCCTGAAGAAATCTGACAGGTCTTTGGTATTCTAGTTCCCAAAAAAAAAATAACTAGAACAAAATTTACTCAATGTTTTTGTAAAGTGAAAATCAGTCTGCAAACCTTCAGAAGATGTCATGTAACATCATGGTTAAATCAGAATAATACTTAAGCCTGTAAGCACTCAGTATTTATCATTTCAGAAGGAAACTGAAGTGAATTTCCAATGACTGTTAAGGCTGGGGAATCCTTTGGAAAAATCACTGTATGGCTCCAAAACCAGGCTTAAAAGAATGTAGCAAACACTTCAGTGTTAAAGAACGGGGAGGATAGAGATAGCTACAAAAGGTTTTCTCATTGCATTACAGATGTTTCTCTTCAAAAAAAAAAAAAAAGTTTGTTACTTAAAAATAGGATGGTTGTAAACAAACATCAAAGCTGTGTGTTTATGGGCAGCTTCATCTGGTGAGAGATTGAAATGATTTTTTTTTTTCCCCTCCAATTTGCATCAGTATTTAATCAAGCAAATAGCTGCAGAAGATAAAGAACAGGCTTGTAAGCCCATCATTCATTCAGCAAAGGGAAACCTATGGCTTTTTCATGGAATGATTCTCATGTCTGTGACATTCTTGTTTTTTATTTTTTTATATCTATTTTGACTATGAAATCTGAAAGAGAAAACTAGACCCTGCTTCAAATTTCAGATGTATGGTAGCTAATTACAGTACACGTGAACTTAATCAAGAAGTGTCATTAGCTATAAAATATATGTACTCTAGAGTTTCCTGGGTATGAGATGGAGAGGACAAGCTGCTGAGGGCTGTTGCCAACTGGATCACTCAGGCTGTGATTTTGTTAATTGCTGTTTTCTATTTACATACCTACAAAGCAGAGATGATAAAATTGGTCTGTGCCTTAATTGCCCTGAGCTTTTAGCAAATATTTATTGGCTACCTGTAGACTTTCAGGAGATGAATAATTACATTTCCACATCTTGTTAAATATTTCGCAGAATTCTATGTCTTCTGGCTTCAAACAGCTTTCTCCTTCAATCTTGAAAACACCTTATTAGAACAGTTAATATTTTCAACTCGTGTTTATGCTGGTGGTAGCACAATAGATCTCATGTTAAGTTTTGTTCCATCTTCCTCATTTAAGCTTATCCTTGTGCTTTGTTGGCAATTTAAGATGAGCTGTACATACTGAGGAATATTAAATTGTTCCCACTCGGATAAATGGGAGCTTGGCCACTGGTTCCTCCAGAAATGGGCTCAGGACCTTGATAGATGCATGCAGTGTCTACGCTTCCTGGCTCAAGAAATAGGATTTCAAGCACTTCTGAATCTCATCCTCTGGTTCTCTGCAGCATGCCTGCTGCTGCCTCTTCGGCTGGCAATTGAAACTGTTTGGTGCATTACAATAATCATCACATAAACTTGCTGGAAACAAAACCAGTAACTGCAACAGGATTGACTAAATGACTCCTAGTCACTGGTATGAAATTACATCTGAATACAAATGGAAATACATTATATCCTCAAAAGAACCCTATGAATTCATAATGAGCTGGTGATGTCACCATTATAACACACTGTGATACCAGAAAAGAGGTTACAGAGGTGACCAGAACTCTTGGTGTTTTTTTTTTTTCAGGAACCATGGACACAATAAATACTACTGTATTTTTAGCTGCAAATTAAAATGATGCACTTCCTGTGAAATTTAGCCCTAAGTGCTTATTCCCATGCTCTTAAACCTTACTGAAGAAGCAGATGAGGATGAAAAAGTGCAACCTGTAGCATCATATCCTGCCTGTCCTGTCCCAAGTGACCAATCCATCAGTACAAAATGCAGTCGTGTTTGTCTCTTCCAGCTTGAATCTACCAGATTACTTTAAAGCAGCTTAGAACGGCTTGTTCTGACCCTTTAAATGCCAACTACCACAGTTCTAATACCTCGGCTCTGTTTCCAGTCTGGCTCATAGTTGAGTGGTACGAGGAGCAGTCCAGAGAGAAACTGCAAATAAATGCCTCTGTCCACTGAGCGGTGACCTTGCTAAATGACAGCAGGTATCCTGAGCATCTGCGCCGTGCCCTTCTCTTACTGCAGTATGATAGGAACATGCATTAACTCTGGAGGATTGATCTCAAAAAACTGGCAGAGAAAGGGCACTTCAATGAGAAAATTAATAATTCTTTACTCTGATTATGATGATTAATTCTGTTACGTCAGCAGCCTTTGGCAGAGCCAATGACAGCAACAGATTTCATATGGGGAAAAAACCTAATTCAGGAGCCAAGAACATTAAAATGGAATTTTGTGCAGTTAAGCAATGATATTAACAAATTGCACACAAGCAGCTATAATTTAAATATGCTCAGAAAGGCACGTTTGTTCTTCAGTCCTACATAAGACATTGCAGTGATGTAAGATTATTTTGTATTTGATATATTAGCCAAGATAAAAAGTGATTGTTTCTGGAACTGACCACTGGCAGATGGACTCGGCTGTGGAAGTTTTTGGACCACATGAAGCTGATCACAAACTCTATCACAGGTGCCAGTTTCACAAACTGGTAACCGCTGCTGGACTAGCAAGCATCCCACTTCTATCTCTGCAACTTTGGTTATGCAGCCAAGACTAATCAAGCCCCCTGTCAGGTATGGAACATAAGATGGGCAGGTCTTTGCTAGGATACAAACCTAGCTGTCATTTTTCTGAAGAGGACTTGGCTTTTATTTGCTGGTTTCCTCTCAGCTTCTGAAGGCAAGCACTTAAAAAGCAGTGATCTGTTGCTCCCTCCCTAACATACTTTGTATTCTTTCAGTTGCCATAAACAAGTTGCCTTGTTTGTCAGTTTGTTTTTGTTTTGAATGCACTCCAACTCATGTCTTTTATGCATTTGGTATGAGGGCCAGATTCCTCAGTACTGCTTTGTTAGGAAACACTCATTTGGCAATCCTAACATTAAAAATTATCCTCAGTAAGATATGCTTTATCAACTCATGACCCTTAGCTATTTGAGTCAGAAACAACAGAGAAAGTACAAAAGTAGATCATTCTGTCGTTGATTCAGATGTTTGACAGATTACAAGGACTAGTTCCTTTGCACTCAAGCATGGCATTTAGAAAACTGGAGTAATGCTTTAGATGGCTGCCTTTTTATCTTCTTGATCTGTCTGCTGTTGAAGTTACTATCTTCTCAGTGTTCCCCTGCAAGAGGAAACTAAAAGTGAGTACGCTGACTTACAAATTAGAATCATTTTAAACACTTGTGCAAGCATTGCCACCTCAGCACAGGCATGCTGATGATTTGTCTGGTACATCTGCACAGAACCAAGGACACTTCTGTTTTCACCGTATCAATTCATACACGGGGTGTGTTTCCCATTTCTTTTACATGATGTGCAAGAAAGGGAGCTGAATGCTATGCATGGAATAAACCAGTCTCCTTTTGATCTAATGAGAAATTGTGCAGACTTTAGTGGCACCAACGCTTGTGTTGCAGTAAAACTTTTGATTATCTAGGGAGCACTTGTAATGATTTCAAATTAACCCCATTGATTTCTGTCTCGTACTAAGAACTACCAGAAAGATAATGTTCAAGTACACAGAGAACTACATTGATTTGCCTTACCTACATAAACTATGAAGTTATTTTAAATTTCAGTTTACATCTTGTGTACAACCTGCTTTCCAACTATTTAGAGACAACCCATTTGAGAATGCAGTTGACTTTTATTGCGCTGACCCCCCCAAAAATGCAGTCTGCAGCCCAACAATACACAAATTTTATGGTTAGTTAACAAATACTGTAAAAATAACTTAATTTCTGATGCATAAATGGAAACAAGGCATTAAACCTTTACACTCAGTAACTGAAAGACAATACCATTTCAGGTGGTCGGGGGAATAAAAATATTCCCCCCATTTTCTCCCCCAAGTTCAAAACCCAATAATGGTTTATATCAACAAATCTCACCTACACTTACTACAGATGTCCCAGTCTTTATTGTCAACCTCTGATATGTTAAGTACCTGATAGAACTATCCTACTGGCATGTATACAACTCAGCAGTGATGCACCTGCTTGGTGCAACCTCTCAAAAGGCTCTAGCTCACTAGCATACTCAAATTAATCTTCAGGTTCTTCATAATGTGCATACCCACTAGCATAAGTCCTCCCTAAACTCAAATTGCTGAATACATCTGTGGTCTCTGTATCAGAATCCTTCCCTCCTCCATCATCATCTTCATCATCATCTTCTGCTTCATATTCATCATATTCATCATCACGATCACCTGCATCTCCAGCCTTGCTGGAGGAGAGGTTCTTCCAGTAGGCATCATAACCAGAAGCTCCATCTGCATCTTCACCTCCAGTCTGGCGGCCAAACTTCAAAGAGCGTGCTGTAGGCAGAGAGAAAAACCATCATGCTCTCACCTGTCAACAGCAATGTGAGCAGAGTATCTGACATTTCTTTTCCATCCTTGTTCACTACTCAATCTTTTTCTAAATCTGACATTTTCTGATTAAATCCGTGCTCCAACAAAACCTTTCCACTACAAGCAGTCTCTTCCTCTGCAGCCATGTTTGTACAATCAATAACTGTCTCCAGAGTATGATATAGGTTTTAGGATGCCTTCAATACTTTGGCCAAGAAAAGTTGTAACTGGATGTGCTCTGCAGACATGGCACATATTCTGATTTATTAAGGTGTAGTTAAGAGGTAGATTCAATGTATGTCACCAAATGACACTTCTGTGTTCATCAGCCTTTTTTTGGTAGACGAAAAAAAGGTCTAAGTGAGGACTGTAATTCTTCCATGACTGAAATCTCAAATGAAACAAAAGCTTTGACTGTGTCAAAATCAATTAATGATTAAGACAAATTCTGATGCTCGCTTCTAGAACTGTGAAACAAAATGTTTCCCCAAGAAGAAATGCATCAAAGCCTTGTAAAACAGATGAAAATAACTATGTTTTCTCATTGTTCCCATGCAGTGAAGTAATCTCTGGTGGTGCCTGTACAGCTTGTTAGCTAGGAAAGCAGGCTTACTTGACATGCTCAGATCCTTCGTCTGCTGAGTTTCATGGCCACATTTAGGGCAGGGAGGTTCTTTTCCCTTTTCCTGCTTAAAAACTTTACTTCGCACATGATCATCACAAAAACAAGCCTGCAGGGTGAAAAGACAATGAAAAGGCTAAATGTTTTAATCATACAAGCATACAGTTCAGCAAGAAGCCAGTGAAAATGTATCTAACAGCAGCAGGATTTTCTGGATGGGATTAACTTTATCAAGCTCTTATCTGCAGTGGAACAGGAAATATGCACGCCATCTACAAAGTTGATGTTGTTAGATGTTGTTTCATGGTTATCTCAGGAGAAGATTACATATAGGTGCTGATAAACAGATAGAAAAAGTAACATGTTCAAGGACTGGATTACAGTGCTGCCCACAAGGGGTCTGGCAAACTTTGATTTAACTTGGCAAGCTTAAATAAAATGCAATTGGAGATGTATGTCAGAATGTAACTATGCGGTAACCTGTAGGCAAGAATTAGAGACTGAAACCTCTCTCATCTCTTGAGCACCAGGATGCTGGTGAAGATACATGGAGAAATGAATAATTTGAAAGACAAAACTGATGCGATGGGGAATGAAGGGGGGAAAAAAAATGGAGAGCAAGAAAAACAAGAGCAGGCAACAAATCAGCACGTGGATAAATCTGGGCAAAGCTGATGGTGAATCAGGTGGAACATCTTATACAGCATGATTTCTGACTGTGTAAAAACAAAAGTCTGGTTTTTAACAAATTAGTCTGTACGTGTGTAAAATTGGAGATAATTTTTTTAACCACATTGACGTGTTTTCTAGCTGGATCATCACTTGACTGTTTGAAAGAATTTAATTGTATTAGCTTTATGCTAGATCAAAACACATTCCAAAGACTTGGATTTGAAAAGGTCCTAATATGGTACAGTCCTGATTTAAACACAGAGACAAATAAAAGATGACTTCACCTGGTATGAGGTTGCACAACTGGCTTGTGATAACAGGCAAATATAAGTAACAGACCTGCTTAAATCTACCCCCAAGCTTCAGAAATGAATACCAAAATTATCAATGTTTTTTTAAAAGCATGCAGAGGAAGACGTAACCTTGGTACCATCCCTGAAGGCTGAGGAGAACAAGTCTAAAATTGTTACTATTTGCAATCATCTTTACCTTACAACGCAGGCATGAATGCTGCCCAAGCCTGTTACAGGAAACACCTGTTGGTAGAAAAAAAAAAAAAAACATGTAAAACTCATTACTTGGAAACTGTAGATCTGTGATTTTTTTTTTTTTTTTTTAACGCTTTGTAGAAAGAAGTATGTAATAATATAAAAATTCAAGGTATTTATTTTTAATTCCTCTTGGAAACCTGAATTGGTCATTTTACCATCCAGTATATTTTTTTTAACTCTATCTTACTAGCTTTTTCAAATTCAAGTCTTCTTGTACTAAAGCAATTGGACACAAAAATCGTAAGGTGAAGAAGGGAGAAAGTGTAGCCATTTCCTGGTTTTTAGAATATTAAAAACAGAAGTTCCAGAATCAGCTTGGTATTGAAGGATTTTCCTTCTTTTTCTTGTCCCAGTGTCAGAAAGAGCACTAGCATTTATGCAGCCATTTAAACAATGCCACGGCAGCTTTTATCTCATTTAAGTGAGATCTGAGGACACTTAAGCTTAAAAACCCCAAACGTAGAAGTTGTTTCATATATTCCATCTCATCCTCAAGAAATGTATTTTATTGCATATAAATTTACATGGAGACCTATCTGTACTAAAGAACTGTAGCTGGCACATGAGCTGTAAGGAACAGCAGAATCAGTGTTGTCAAAACCTAACTTGTCTTGAAGCCTCAAACTGATTTCTTTACTCCACTAGAGGGAGTACACTGAAGGCAACCACACAGGAATTGGTAGCAGCATAAAGCTGAATAGTTAGTGAATAGTTACTCTTCAAAAGCACTATTTTGTCTTACGTCTCTGTGTGAGTACTTTCTCCACCCTTCCTTACACTTAGGATAATGAAGCTTTTGTATCTGAAGTAATTAGTATTGTGAGTTCTCCACATGAACGGGACAGTAGTCTGTGTTTAAAGACAGAATTGGAAATGCTAACGTGTGTATATTTAAACATTTCTAGAGCATCTGTGCTTTAACAAAAACTTCTTGGTGTTGGAAAGTAGTTTAGCTTTTTTTCACAGCTAGACTGGGATTCAGATTACAATAGTATGACCACAGTTAAAAGTTTGTGTATTCTGTCGAAGTTCAGGTTTTTAATTCTGTCTCTATATCAGGATTGTAGGCACTTTCCTCCAGTGGTGGCAAAAGGCATCACCTACCTGGAAAAGGCACTGGAGAGTGTTCCTCTTGAACACAGAGGAAGCAATCTGAGTCTGCTTAGTTTTTAAGAAAGAGACTACAAACAACTACTTACATTTAAATGTCTCTGCTTCCAAAACTTGGCAGCTGGCTTGATGTTCAAACTGATCGTCTTCACAGAGGAAATTGTGGCAAAAAGAGCAGGCAAACATTCTGCCTCCTGGAAGATGTATCAAGGCAAAATAACCAGTAATAGGCATAGGCACCAAGTTCTGCTCCGCAAAAAATTTAGGCAGTTATGTGTTTTTTTTTTTAACTGAAGACCAGTTCTGCCCTCTGTCTAACACCCTAAGAGAAAGTTCTAAATTAGCATCCACTATTACTCTGAAAAATACCACGTTTCCTACAAGACAAGATAGCATAAATATAGAACAAGTACTACTAGTAGTTGTTTTCAATTTGACTATGGCATTTTAGTGTTACTTAAATCAGATCTTCTCTCATCCAGTGTTGTTCCTTCCCACCCCCTCACCTCTGATACACACTGAAATTATAGTTCAAAGGATTCCACAAATGGTGATCAGAATGGTTTGCCAGGCAACTGGGACCCAAATACCTGTACTAGTGCAGACGAAAGGGGTGAGAATGGCAGAAAATTGCATGCTGACCATTAGAGGTGGTAATTAATTATGTGAAGCATTCAGCTGATGGGACAATTAATTATATATACATCCCTCAGTTAAGCAGTACATGTTCTTGGGCACATTTACATTCCCCACTTCATAAGATCTGTTATAAAATGGGGAGAATGCCTTGCTTTGACCAAATACACTAATCTTGAAAATCAAAAATGTTATGCTAAGCATATAAGTACAATAACTTATATAACACGAGAGGAAAAGCATAATTCAGATATTTTTCATTAATTGTGAGCAACCTACCGTGATCCCAGACGCTTCTTTCACACTCAATACATTCTGCATCTGCAAGAGGGCAGATACATGCATGTGTGCTGAGACACTTCCTCCCGTGGCACACCCAAGCTTCACAGAAATCACAGATTGCCCCCTGCAATTACAGACAGATAGCATCTTGGGATTTGTACAGTGTCCAGAGAGACTTATTTCAAAACCCTGAATGCATCTCCCTATCCCTTCTCTCAGTGGGTTTATTCCAGATAAGCAAGACAGTACAAAACAATCAGTATCCAATCAAGCCACTGCAGGGTTTTTTTTCTTTTTTTTTTTTTTTTTTAATTCAGTCCTCATTTTTGCAGGATTAAATAAGATGAAAAATAACCTCTTTCCCTCCTTTTCTGTTTTTACCTTTTAAAATCTGTATCTTACATTTTATGCATGGAAGTCGTCTTCTAGCTAAAACCTGAACTTTATAAATGATAGTCATTTTCTGGCAAAAAATGCAATTTGAAGTAAAAAAAGCTTTAGATCCTCACAACCGAAATCACTCATTCAGATGTTAAACCACGTTATATTAGAGCATCAGGTCCATGAACAGCAAAGAGCAAATAACTCATAAGAAATATAAATAATACATTTTCATTTTAGTTAAAGTGCAAGATCAGAAGCTCAACTACATAATTATAGCATTTAAGAAGCCTCCTCAGCCCATAGGCAACAAACTACCAGCCAGGGTTTGCAGCAACTCAATCTAAAAAGGAAAAATTTAAATTTTCAGTAATGTAATGGTAAAATGAGAGAAAAGTCTTAGTGTACCATATGCTATCGCTGTGTAAACCTGTTTTACCTTGCTTGAGAAAGATTGGCATAAAAGAATGTCATACTTGGAAAAAAAGCTGTCATTATGTATACATACCACCATTGCCAGTCCAGTACTGTACACACCAGCATGTTTTATGACACAATCTGATGACTTCATCATGCATTTGGTTTTTCCTGAACAAAAAAAAAATAACAAACAACCAGAAGGCAAATATATAGTCATTTAAAAAAGTGCTCATATAAAAACAGAGATTCAAGCAAATGTAATTAGTCATATACCTGGTTAACAAAGAATGCAAACAAATGTTTGTAACTTGTTAACCTCCCCATGTATTTTTCTTAGATCGAATGAATTATGGTCTGTTTTCAGCACCAGTGCTGAGATGAGGTAGTGGATCGTCTTGCTGTATATTTTGAGGCAGTCTGAGTAGACTGATGAGGATTTCAAATGTCAAAATAAGATAATTAAGGTGTAAGTCAAGGAACAACAACTCAAAGTTGTATTTAACACTGTTGCTAGTCCCACCATAAAAGTAGCATGTCTGAGGACCTCTGAACAAAATACCCATACTTGATTTAATTACTTACATACTCAGATGCTTAAACTTTCAACTGTTTCAAAACAAATAAGGATGGCAAAATAATTCTCCTTAAAAGCAGGGCTTGTACAGGAGTAAAAGCCACAGTCTGCACTTCGAAGTCTGTTCTGACACAGGCAAGCAACTAGGGTGACAGTTTTCCCCTAAAGTAAGTGGCTTTACCAGGAAGATGCTTACTTGGTATGTAGATACGTAAGCAAAAATACCTGTAGTTAGCCGTGGTCACTGTACTGCAATTTTATTCTGGTTTAAGCTGACCTGCCACAGATCCCTTTGGTGTCTCTATTATTGCCTCCTTACGGGGATATTTCCTGCAAACCTATTCAGGAGTTCATAAAACTAAATTCTACTATGCAAATGCAGAGAGAAGTGCATGCCCCAGTATGCACCATCAACAGGAGGGTTTTGATATTATCAGATACCAAATGGCACTGAGGAATGACCGCTGGTGGTCTGAGCTGGGCAGTATAACGTGGTGGGGATATTACTGGCTCCGGAGCAGAGTGATACAGCCACTGTGCTCCCATCCTGCAGGGACTACTCCAGGAAAGATGACATTGGTTTATGGGGCCTGTCACCTACACTTGATTAAGCACCAAAGAGTTCTAATGGTCTCTGTCTTGGCAAACCTTAGGGGACTCAGCATCATTTTGTGGTGATTAGGAATGCTTTTCTTTCAGAAACATACTGCAGATTAAGATAAATTGAGCAGAAGGAGTCAACTTTGGACTGTAAAACAGATTAAATGTTTTTAGTACTTCACAGCACAATGACAAAAGGAAGACCTATGAAGGATGACGCAGTGCCACTGCACACAGTCAGCCTGGCTTCCAGAACTGCAGGTCCCAACAAAGGCACTGCAAGCTGCAGATGTCAGCAGCTCTGAGTGTCAGACTACAAAATGGCCAAATTGCTTAATGAAAAATGGAAAATCTGTGATGATATGTTGAAAGAGTAAAACAAAAAAATGACTTCAAAGTATAAAATGATTATTAATCTCACCTTCAAGCAAATTGCATAAATGGGTGTTTTAGCCTGATTCAGAACCCAGTTATACACTAAGTGTCCTTCTCATCTGATTTCCAAGCATCAGCCCTCCTGACACCAACAGCTTATTACGTTACAAAACTGTTGCTTTAATCGATACTAAAGCGATTAGCAATTATATCACCCCCAAAATGCAGAATTTATTGTGTCCTTTGGGCAGTCATCTCTTTATAAGCTTTGTTGTCACTAGGAAACAGCACCCCCACATAAATCTAGGGAAACAGTCACGTGTTCTCAATCCCAAAAGGCAATAAGTAAAATTCTTCTAAATATCAAATACTGAAGACAAGCCTATGGCCCAGACTTGCAAACCCTGGAGGGTCATAGGTATGTTCATTAGTTTGTGTGATTGAGCAAGAACCTTCCCTTAAGAAGGATGTTCAAAACAGATTTAAAAGAACTTGCTCTAAAAATTGCAGAAGTACTTCATGACAAAGGAACCTTAACTGCAGAGGGTTTAAAGACACAAAAGAAAAAGAGAATAGCCTTCATTATCTCCACTTACCACACTGTGCACAAATGGGTAATTTTTGAACAGAGTTGCAGAAGTAGCAAAAAGCTCTATTCTTCTGTCGTCTAGGCACATGGAAAGGGGGAAAAGCAAGATGTTAAAACAAGACCTGTAAAATGTTTGAAACTAGCTAATGTTAAACTATTAGCCTTTAGAAGGGGAAAATGCTTACCTTTGGCACTTGTCACATTCCTAAAGAATAGAAATAAAATACTGATAATTATTTTTATTCTACTTAGAACACATAAAATTCAGAATTAAGTTCTGATTAGGAACCAAACTTTTCATGCAAGTACCACTGCCTCTGATACAAGTGTAATCTTAAATGTACAGGCTATTGTTCTAGTGGTGCTATACATAGTTAATGTACTATCATTTGTCTTACATAATTTAAAATCAAGTATTGCAATGCAAAATATTTTAGTTTATTTTACCATTGAGGCATTACAAGGATGTTTGGCTAAATCTATGTTGGCTCTTGAAGCCCTTATCTGCTTCTCACGTTCTCGACGGTTCTCAGCTTTCTTACGAGCACCAGTCTTCTTTTTAGGCATTTTTCACTGTCTGTGGGACAGAAAAAAGTATGTAATGAATGCATGCAAAACTACACATGTAAGTACACGGATACACATGACATAGCCAGCACTAAAACCAGATTCTGAAGTTTCCATCTGTTAAATGTTTCATCTCCATTCATTTCCTTTCCTGAATGATTTTCAAATGTAGAAAAAAAGGCTCCTGTCCCCTATGAAGGATCCAGTGATGACTTATTAATAATCCTGTGATCTGGAAAAGATTTTGCTGTCCTACACTCTGTGCTTAACTGTCTTTGAAGTGTTTTGCCTTTGAAATAATGTGTTTGTGATGGGCCTCTCCTTTTAGACTGCCTTATGCCTGTTTAATAACGACAATTCTCAGCTCATTTTCACTTCTCTTTTCTCAAGCTCACTACTTCAACCAGTTAAAAAACATTCTTCAGGTTAGTGAGTCATGGCTTGCTGCAAAAATGCAAACGGCACACTTTGTGAAAGCTTAGAAAGCAAAATGTTACTATTCTAGTTTTAAGAGTGATGACAACGGGATGTCTAAACCACTAGTTTATCATTCTAGCACATTCGTAATAATGAAGAGATGAGCATATATTTCTCTAAAGATACCACTGACTCCCAAGAAGAGTTTGTGCTAATTTAATTCCTCTGGTTCAATGTGTGCCTATTTTAACAGTTCAGGAGGGAACCAACACAAGGCAGTGGGGAGACTGTCAGTAAACCCATCAGAGCACTGCACTCTTCTCATCTCCACAATGAAGTCTACAATGCTCACAAATGCTTCATTTACTATGTGCCATTGTTATCTTGACTTCATGAAATGGACGACTGAGAGATTAAATGTGTAGTCTGACATTAGAATTTCTCTTGTTGATGCTGGCACTCAGGCATTCTTCCTCAGGCTCAATCTTCATCACCATTTCTGCTGATGTAACTGTTGTTGGTGTGACATTCTAAACCAGGTACAGAGTAAACACAATAAGTGAATCAAATGAAAACAAATGTTCCCCAAAGTCAAGATCTGTACAACGGATAGGGCAAGGCAATGAAAGAGGCAGCAGGGTTATTTGCTTAGCAAGCATGGAAACAAAGCAGCTCAGGAAGAGGCAAGGACCTCTCCACTGACATGCAAACACGCAAAGAAAAAAGCAGCACTGCCTTATTAAACACATTTGTAAAAGACACTCCCAAGTCTATGGCAGATGCATTTCTTTGTACTGTAGCTACCAAACCACCCATGTTTACAGATGATGTGAAAATTCAGCCATCCTAAGCGTTTAGCTTCAAGTTTGGTACTTCACTATAGCGCCTGAGTTTTGAAAACCTGGCTTCTCTAGCAAGATGCCCAACATATCTTGTCTTGCACAACTAAGCCACAATTCCTGCTCTCCCCAGCTTCATCCCTAACATCAAGCTGACGTGTAGGAGTGCATGCTGGTAGCTGCAAGGACAGCAGCAGCATCAATAGACAGTGAACTGTAGCAGCTTGAACTTAAAAGAAAAATTAGCATCCCTTTTCAAAATCACTTAGCTTTCCCGGACAAAGAAACGTACTGTCCTGACTACATGTTAAAATTTGATTTTGACAGCATGCATAAATCAGCCCGCTCGCTCTGCAGCATTCTGCACCACGTTTAAGTGTCTTCTTATGCAGTCAGAATCGTATTGCTAAGCTGCCTGCTGGCAAATATCATTATTCTGGAGCATGACATATTCTGGAAGTCCAAAGTGAGACTGCGCGTTAATTTTCCAACTGCTCAAATGCTGATTTATCAACAGAATCGAGCAGCACCGATAGCGTGGCAGTGACAGCCACAGTGCCGCCCTGCTCCTTTTCACCTACAGGACGCGGCAGGTCCGTGCCTGCTTCCCTTCCTCAGCCCAAACAGCCACGATCCTGCTGAGCTCCTGAGCGACCTGCGCTTCTGCATCAGGGCTTTTCTCCACGCGAAGCTTTCTACTCTAAACCAAACGCGCAAGTCTGTTAGTTTTTCAGCTGGTCCACCTAAGGTCCCCATACCGCGAGGCGCTCGGCATTCACGGCATTCACGGCATTCACCTTCCGCGCCGGCCCGCCGCCGCCTCCCGCCGCCTCGCCGAGCCCAGCGCCGCCCCGCGCTCCTCGCTCCGACGGCGGCGCGGAAGCCGGAAGCGGTGCGCTGCCCGCACGGCCCGCGCGGCGAGGCGGGAAGGTTCCGTCCCCAAGGCTGTGGTGCGCCGCTCGCCTCCCTCCCTCACTGGCTGCAGGGATTTGCTGCCTGATTTTCCAGTGCGTAAATGAGACTTTGCTTACGAGTCGAAGAAATGGATACGTAAAAACTCAACAGCAAAGTTTTCTTGCTGTTGAGTTGCTGGTGCTGTTTATTAGTAGCGCCAGGAAGCACCGGGCATATTTCCACTGATACTTCCAAAGATATGATTCAAAGTGCATTGTATTTCCACGGACAGTACACAATCATCAATTACCCACGAGATAATTAAGATATACATGCCTATAACTCAGGTGGTGATTTATGAGGTTTCATCTTCTATTCCACGGTCTCTTCTGCAGTCTAGCATCTTTTTAGCACCGTAACAGTCCAATTCACAGTCCAACAGCCTTTTACTTCATCACTGGTCTTCCTCCATCGCCCTCTGGATGCACTTTCTTCACTGGCACACGCTCAGTAAGAGAATACCTGTTTTAAGTTATCCATAGGCACCAAAATTGTAACATTTGCTCACTCAGCACTCGGCCATCATATCTGAACATCTGCTCGTCCCTGGATAAAGGTGTTTGACAGCCTGTCTTTTAATGATATAGACTGAGGTGTTGGAAGATAAGGGGCTGCCCAGAGAGGCTGTGGATGCTTCATCCCTGGAGATGTTCAAGACCAGGTTGGATGGAGGCCTGGGCAACCTGGTCCAGTACAGATCTGGAGGTTGGTGGCCCTGCCTGTGGCAGGGGGTTGGAACTTGATGATCCTTGGGGTCCCTTCCGACCCCGACCATTCTATGATACGGAGAATAGGGAGAAGTATCTTGATGTCTACCTGTTACATCCCAACCTACTCCCGGAGTGAGACAGTTCAGCCTTGTGTGAAGGCCCTCTGATGCTTTTGATGTTTCATAAGCCTACTTGGGTCATTTCATTGTTGTGTTTCTTTTGCTGAAGGTCTCTTGTCAGAACAGAATAGCCTTACAACACGCTTCCTAGTTTATAATGCTACATCCATAACTATTTGCAACATCTAAAAGCTATTGCAGTTTTGCAAGCAAGAACTAACCACATAATACAACAATTCAACAGCTATATTTCTAAAAATATGCTTCTAAAATATGCTGTGTATTTTCTTCTTAAATTACTTAACTCCTCATCATAAGCGGCACATGGCAGAAGTAGAAACAAAGGTTGCAAGGCTGCCTTTGATTCCTTTTGATACTATAAGTCCTTGGAGCATTTTGCCTAGAAATCCCTTCGTGGAAATCATTAGATGAAGTTCATCAGATAGTTATTTAAATGAAGATGAATGGAAGGCTCTCAGCATTTACAACGCAATATAATTTGTGGTCTTTTGCCTAGGATGAGAGGGGTATGTTATATATTTTGATATAGGCTGGCTTAGCAAAAGGGATAGGTTTAGTGGAAAAATGGGGAGAAATTAAGCAGTCAAAGACCACCAGAGGTGGAGTTCTTGGGAAAAAAAAAAAGAGAGAGAATTTGTATGCCAGTGTACTGCATATGTATGTCTTAACTGTTTAAATGTAGAACTTGAGCTCTGAGGGCATGCACTTGATTTGTCGAGTTGCCCAGTACATCCTATAAGGAATAAAAGAAAGCTACTTCCTAACACCACATTAGAGAGTTTTCTTCTCAGATTTCGGATGACAATTTCATATGCCTTTATCTTAGCACACATTTTTATTTCTAGTGTGCTTTGACCATTCATTCCAGTGGGCTGCTTACGTTGCTCCATCTTGTGCTTGGTCGTGCCTTTCTTACTGAAAGTGGTTGCTGGTTTTGTGTGTGATTTTGACTTAAAGAGAGAGATAGGGATTTAGTGGGCACCACTGCTTTTCCAGCAAGTTACTCTTGTAGCTTCAGTGAGCCAGGGATGTGTCTCCCCAAACTGTTTCTTTGCTTGTCATTCTTTTCCTCCAAGATGTTACCTTCACACCAGGTTATTGGGGCACACAGGAAAATGCATGACTGCTTAAGATAAAAACTCACTATGATCACTTCACTGAACATTTCTCCTTTTAAGAAGGCATGAGAAGTAATTTTCATTATTCTGTAACTATAGCTACGTACTATTTAACTAACAACCAAAGATCTTTTGCAGAGCCTTCCAGCTTTTAGTGTCATTCTCACTTTTCTTAATGAATGCCCTTAATCTTTTATATTTTGTTCTGGTTGTGACCATTTATTTTAGGCATCCAGGAATGCAAGACCACAATGGGAATAACTGATATAGCATTGGAGGAGGGTGGGAAGATAAACAGAAGGTTTTAATCTCTTTTAGAATAATTATCCTAGGCAGCTAATTTGCTTTCATGAATGAATGGAGCTGCTAAGGAAAGGACTCGCAGATACATCCATAGAAATTATCTTCCCATTCGAGTGCATTTTTACATAAGCAAATGCACAAATGAAAGGAAGAAGAAAGGAGGTGTGCTGCCACTAGGATCTATAATTTTGGTATTTAATCTCATAACTTTAATGGCGTTTAAGCAGGGCTCTTGTTAATCCTGTGATCCTCTGTCTCCTCCTCGATGACGCTCCGCAGAGCACCCTCTAGATGGCAGGAGTCACTTCGCTCGTAACAGCGAAACGTGTTGATTTCAGAAGGGCTAGAAGCAGCCCAAGGCTGTAATACAAGGCAAATAAGAGGAAAATTAGATGATGGTAGCTAATTTAGAGCTTACGCTATTTCCATTAGCAAGACTGGACGGCTGTCTGGGAAATTCGCACATAATGAATGCAAGAATATTGCAGACTATTGCTTTTTCAAAGATACGTGTGGAAAGCAGTGGGAGTCACCCCTGCTTTTAGGGCTGTTTGTAGCGACTTGAGCAAGAGAAGCTATGGAAGGAGAGCGTGCATCTCTCAGAACTGAGCATCATCATTCCTTATTACCCCTCAGAGTCAGAATATGTAGATTGCAGCTACATTTCATTCAGTATCTCCCCATCTTGCTCCCTTCTTGGTCAGTCCCTTTAAATATACAATAAAGCATATTAGCTATCAACTTGAAATAAATATTGACCCGAATTACAGTAATTTATTTTTCCTTTAATACATTGTGATTTCTTTTCCTCTAAATAACACACTTGTTCTGATCTAATTAAGCCTCTATTACCTAACTATTTATTACCATAATTATCTTCATTATTACAGTGCCTCCTTGCAGCATTCGATATGTTTACCTCCCTAGGGGTTGCACTGTAAAATGGGTGCAGCATATACCTTTCTAACTGACCTTTTGAGCATCGTACATCACATTTAATTTGTTTTCAAATCCTGGCCTTGCAGCAACTGACCTTAAAAGTCATATCAATCTTTGTTTGATGTAAGATAATTTCATCCTTGCTGATTTCACTATATAAAGAAAAGGGAGGCAAGGAAAAGAACTTTAGCAAGAATATTTATTGATGTCTGGTGAATCGGCACATCCAAATAGAATATTTTAAAACTGGAAAGATTTTTTGGTGTGTTCCAGTCCTCTTAGCCCTGCAAAATGACTCCCTATGAAATTTTCTAAGTGGTTATTTTGTCTGAGTGAGTGTGAAATGTATCAAAAGGAAAAAAAAGGGGGGGGAGAAAAAGACAACTAGAGGATTTGCTGCTAAATGAGAAGAGTCCCAATTCAGGAAGCCCTCTCAGCTGTCACTTCTTTATTAAAATCTATTCATCTTTCTTATGGTAGCCAAGTTGTGTGTTTTCACATTGCTCCCATCACTTCAGCAAACAACTATACAACATTTTATCACCACTGTTCATTGTTTTTTGTTGTTGTTTTTAAGGTGGAAGTCATGCAGTATAGCTAAGCTGCTAGGATTTCTATAAAGCATTTAATGTGTTATGATACCTTAATTATCACAGGTTAATTAAGATTGGGGTGAGGGAATGGCACAATATTAATTAGTTACTCATTTTTCTAACAAAAGAAGTAAACAATAATCATTTGTTTTGGAGTACAAACTTGTTGGCTTGTGGCAAGTTATTACTAGTATAGTTTCTCCATGATGAGATTGTAATGTCATAAATAATCTTGTTTCTTGTCCAACTGATTCCATCAAGAGGGTGGCACGTGATGCTGAATTTTCTGCATATGTGAAACTGGGAGGCTCTGTGAGTGAAGAACAGGATGGAGATACCTGGTGACAGAAATAAACAGGAGCACCTGTGTGACAGGAATGGGGGAAGTAAAAAATAAAAATCAAGGTCAGACTGGATGATTAATAAAAAGACTTTCTCCTGCAGTGCTGGATGCTTGTCAGTTGGAAGTAACAGAAGGGGATGAAAAATGTGAATATTTTAATTGGTCACAGGAGATGAGATTAATTCACCTAGTAATGATGAGCTCACCGGTCTGAGTTTATTGCTTGGCCTCTCCCTCTAATCAATGGAGAGAGATGGGCTCCCAAAGGAGGTCAGTCATTTCTCTCAAGACAGGGTGATCTCTCTTCTCAGATAGCTGAATCTAGGGCCCAAGAAACCTGACCAGTGTGTCTACAGGCTGTCATTGCCAAAGGAAGTATGATCTTAGGGCGTACTGAAGGTGGTGTTTCTAGTTGAGCTAGAGGAGAGCTAGCAGTATCAGAAAGGTCTTACAAGACATTATCTAGAATATTTAGTACTGTTGTTTAACCCTGATCTAACATGAGGTGTACAGCTGTAGCCATGCCACACGAGTTAAGAGATGAGTTCCACTGGAGGATGCTGAAGGAAGAGGAACTCAAGTCCCTGTAGACTTCCTGTAAGTCTTACACTATATTGTGTTACTATCAATTAATCCTTGATGAAGGAAAAAAAAATAATATAGCCATGTGGAAGAAAACTCTGCTAAGGTAATCAGGAAACTAAGAAGCCTCTCACCTAGAAGAAGGCTAAAAAATGTCCCATAGCTGGCAAAATGAAAGGTCAGCA